TTTTATAGGTATGTGAATCATGCTTGAAAATGCTTATTCTCCCCCCCCCCCCATAAAATGAGAATGAATAGACATTTTCAGTGTTTCCTTGTAAGAAAGGTTTCAGCAGCCTATTAAATCAACACAACAAGCCCTTGTAGCCCTGTAATTTATGGCTGCTTTTAAAAGGTAGTAATCCACAGTAATTGTACATCAGCATCCCAAAATAAGCAGGAATTTGAAATAACCGTATAACCCTCTCTCTCCTTTCATTGACAAAGAACACTATCACTTTGAAAAGCGTTACATTTCTATTACAGCCACGCATACACACACTACACACATCCCCATACATACATTCATACATACACCTTCCAATAATGATTCTAACAACTGAATCATGAAACTAACTTAGACCCAACTGAATTCAGAAAAGGCCAGGATATATAAAATACCTGAAACTTATTTCGGATCCATTCTGGTGCACATATAGTCAAACAAAAGCCAGGTTTTCTAAAATAAGAGCAAATGAGTGACTCACACAGGAGTCACTACAAAACTACTCAAGTGAATCAAAAACAGCAAGCCACGGAAGCAACCCAGCATTATAATTGCTCCAACTACCCATCTCTTGCTCTGAGACTTTGATTTGGGAACCAAGAATGGCCAAAGAAATGATCAACCTCTTTCAATTACTTTTCACCCTTCCTGTCCCCAATGCCTTTAGAAGGCTGGCTATTACTAGGGGTTCCTATATTTCTTTGTCTGTCCGGACACACGCATTCACCAGCCCTAGAAGATGAATCGACTGAATCCAGAAAATTCCAACTAGGTTAAATATTTATCACAGCAGAGTCTCATTCTAACAGGTTATTTCTCTATGCAAGCACTAAGCAAATGACTTCTCGCCTATGGGTAAATTAAATCTCCCAGAAAGTATCCGCAAGTAGATTATCGTTCTTACCTCCCACAATTTCAGACCGTGGACTAAATTGTTCCCAGCTTCTATCATTCAGGGGATCGTCTTTTTCGGTGCCCAGGACTTCTGTAAACACGCAACAAGCAATACCTACATGAGAATGGTAAAGGAAGCTGTTTGTCCACTCAAAGACAGTGCTTGGTTTGCTTAAGACTTTTGAAAGGCTGCAATCGTGGAAGTGCAGAGAGTAACTAAAGGGACTCCATTGATCACTGTAACATGTAAAATGTTATTTGCTACAACAATAAAGAGCACTGAGAAATATCTGAGAAACAAAAGCATGCTCTTCTTCGCAGACAGCTATGCTTTCTGTCTCCAAGTGTTTGGAAATCTTGTCATTTCAGACTCTCCTTACATGAATGTATGCTCTATTTTCCTCTGGGAAACCTTTGTTTAGGATCATTTAATCATGAACAGGCATTAAACACAACAAGTGGTGTTCATTTTTGTTGAATAAAACAATTTTTAATGTAGGACGTATTATAGTAGCAATTTCTATTCAAACACTTAAGAATTCGGGCCCGAGTCTGTTCCCATTGAATTCAATGAAAAGTTTACAATGGATTTCAATGGGAGTGAACGGGCCCTCTAACTCTTTGCTGAGAGCTATTCTGGGAGAAGAAAAAATCTAGAGCAGTGAGCACTTCCACGCTAGGGTTTTGTGTTGTTTTTTTTAAATTATGTTATTTTGTTTTATTTTATTTTTTAGTTAATAAGCTTCTCCGCCCTGAAACCTCTCTGCTCAGATATTCCTTAAATATTTGTATTGCATCGCGTTTACATATTATTTCTCGCATATTACCGTATACCTCCTGCACTCATTCTTCTTGATATGATCCCACCTAGTGCGACCTAAGAGTCTCAGTAAAGGTAAACGCTAATAATTAAATAACACAGTTTCTTGGAAGGATGTCATCTGAGCCTTGGCAAACATTAAGCCTGCCTTGGGAGAGGTTTTCGAGAAAGGACGTTAGCAGTTCCATAATTACTATAATAATTTTAAATTTTGTGTTGAACTGCAGCCGACATAAAGTAATGCAATAATCGCTTACTAGGCTGTTTATTGCCTTCTCATAAATTTCCTGCGCTGACTGCTAAAATCCACTCCCGCACGATCAGGACGTGGGAAGTGCCATTCGCTGGAGAGTGATCTCCAGGGCTGGGCGCTGTTACTCTTAGCTCTGCTTTTCATCCCATTCCCCGAAATCCAGGGGCCAGAGAGGGAACCTCGTCCTACAGTTCACTCCTAACCAACTGCCCCGTGACAAACTGCAAGAAAGAATTGATCCGCCCGTCTCGACTGGATCCCCTTCTCCCCTTAAAAATGGAATGTGTATCTCAAAACGGTGCCAACGACTTCTGGCTATTTATTTTGGAGCTATTAAGCCACGCCAGGTTATTTTATACTGCCCCAATCCACAACTATACTTCTTCTTGAAAGAGTTGCTAAGTAGCAATAAAGCAGTTCACTAACGCTATGACTTTAAAAAAAAAAATTGTTGTTATCCCAAACTCTAATATTCATTGCGACACTTTAACTTCGTACATAAATCGTTCAGACTAATGAGTCAGAGAGAAATTTGCCCGTGACTTTCTTTTTACAATGCTCGCTGCCTTCCCATTGCTTTTTTGGCCCTGCATTAGGAGCCAGTGATTTATTAGAGCCAGGAAAATTGAACAAAGCAGTGCTCCTTCACTGTGGTATCCAGCCTTCCACAGTGTGAATTAGAACATTATCGAATGTGTTTGCCTGGGCAACACTTAATCACAAACAGCCATAATGTGACCACAAGGCAGCTAAAACAAAGATTTAACATTTCTAAATATTAAACTTGCTAAGTAAATGCGCGGCAGCCCTCCACAAAGCAAGCACAAACAATTAAAGCAATCAAGCTAGAAAGGCACACTACATACTCACCAACACAGTCCCTACTGCTTTCTTAGGGAGTCTAGAATCTTTCAAGATAAATCAGTTTTTTAAACTCAAATAAAAGGAAGTTGAGTTTCACTTCTGAGAGAATCACTCCTAGTGAGAACTGACGGCCACAGATCCATTGCTGACTATCTGCATTAATTATTTAATGAGTCACGTGACCCCAAGGATTAAAATTTCAATATCTACACAAGAACAGACGCAACACCTTTATCTACTAGTGCAGGGTTTCTCTTTTGCTTATTTAGGTCCCATAATCTCGCTTGGTTTTGACAGCTTTCCAGTTTCTTGGGAGATCATTTGGACATTAATAGTGCTGTGCTTGTCCTGCTGTAGCAAGATCAGGCAGGTCCACAGTCCTAGCTTTAAATTAGTCATTTGAGTCTGGGTTTTTATTGTCTGCAGTAGACTGTGTTAACATGCATAATTACAATCCATCCTTCTCGTAATTCTTAGTATTACACACCATAGTGTGATGGCAAGACTGGTAGTCTCTATATTTGCCCCTATAATGCTCTTAAAAGTGACAAAAGAACCAGCTCCTCACAGTTGCTGAATACGGGTCTGACATTATCCGTGTCTGGAAATAATTTTTCTACATTGCCATTTACACCTCGTATGGGAGAGCATGAAAGAGCTTTCCTATCTGTATTTAGGAAGTGTGCTGAGAACTGCCTACCACCCCGGCCTTCAGCTTAGGGATGAATTTGAACCAGTGGGCCTCATTCCCATCTCTGATACCAGTGACTCCAGCGAGGTCAATAGGACCAGGACAGAGGTCAGGACCAGTCCCACTGTTTCCAAAAGCTCAGGGAAGAGTAAAACCAGTTCTGCCCATTCTGTGGGCCTTGGATGGGTTGTGATAGAGCAAGCAGGCATCAGGGTCCCCGTAGGACAGCCCTGGCTGCAAAAGGTAGAGATCCTATTAGGTGCTTATGGGGTTAGCAAACCCCACAAACCCAGGACCAGGGGAGAATGTGTTCTTTAAAGGCCTTGCAGACTGTGTGCTGCAAAAGTCGTGGAGAGGGCCCCCAGCTCGCCATGTTTATTGCTCTTCGTAGAGATTGCTGTCATGGCTGTCACAAGATGCAGCCGAGAGGAGAGAACAATCTCTCCTCGATATTTTCATCCTGCTGAAAGGGAGGTGCTGGCGCAGCCCGATCCCCTCCCGCTGGCCCAGCGATCCCCAGTGGCAGGAACCAGGTCTTCTGGCCCCGACACAAGGCTGGCAGGGGCAGGAGAAGAGATCATGTGGAGCAAAAAAAAAAGGGAGTTTGGTGCCAACTCTGTGGAAACCTCCATCCGCGGGGGTTTCGCCCCTATTTCCCATCCCCAAAGCAGCTCGCTCTTGGGGGGCAGCGCCCCTGCACTGCCCCAGCAGTGGGCAAGCCCCCAGCGCAGAAGGGTGCTAGCTAGTCCACACTGCAAGGCTCTCACAGCTCAGCTCCTGGAGTAATAAAACACCGGGCAGATCTGGCGGGGAGGGCTTGAAAAAGACCATTTTTCTCCCTGGAGGGGCGGGGGTTAGCGACTGGGCTCGACCGGTGACAATCCGATTGACTCGGACCTGATTTTGCCTTTATGTGAAATATGGACAAACTTCCACCTCCAGCATTTTCCGCCGCTCTCCTTTGTGGCGAGAGCAGCTTCAACGCGCGAGAGGGACCCGGGGAGAGCAAGCCAGCGAGACATTTAGGTCCAAGTGCTGGATTAAAAAGAATACTGTCTTTAAAGGTCAAGGGTTTGCAGGGTCAGTCTGCTCCTCTAAAAAAAACAATTAATGGGATAGAAAATTTGTCCTTTCTGTGAACTCTCGGGGTTGCCCTAGCAAAGGGAGGACAATGAGAGAGCTTAAATCCGACGATGTAATTTTCCAAGTTGTTGTAACAGAGCTTATATATCAAACCAGAATCAGAGTCACACTCGCAGACCAGCCACCGTGCAGCTTAAAAATAAAGGGAAGGGAGGAGGGTAAAAACGAAAATGTACCTTAAATGATGATAATCTGCCATGTGATATTTTGCAGTCCGGGACTGAATCTCCACCAAGAAAGTATATTTTTTTTTAGCAGACAGCCAGGATGCTGTGTCTTTACACATGGCCACATTTTTTCCAGGAAAATCCTTTGCGTCTTCACAGACTTTTCCAAGAGAATGCCTTTCAGAACCGCTGTTGAATTACAAAGAAGTATTTATTGTAGGAGGTGATTAATGGTTCTCAGTAAAATTGCTATTTTCAGCGTGATTTAATTTTGTTTTACAATGGGAAAAATAGGTTTTTAAGCACAATCCTCAGAAATAAAGCGTATCTTTTCTGGTGTCTTAAAAATGCTGGGACTGGGATTTTCATCATTCTGTAGTAATTTTGTTTAAAATAAAGTGGAGAGGAAATTCTATGCCATAAAGCAAACAAAGAGTCAGGGGTGGAAGAGAGGGAGATAGCAGTAGTAACCTCACTTTCAAATCTGTTCTGTTTCCTATATAATGAGGCATCTGACATGGGTAAACATTTTAAGCTTTAGTAAACAGCAATATGTTAAGGGAAACATACTATTCAGGCCTGTTTGTTGTTCAGTTAAAAAGGCAACACTGTTTGCTAAATGTATTTGCAACCGCCACAGCTTTGATTTGGACCATACTCTCCCAGTGACATGTTAAATTTTTCATTTAAATGATACCTATCCTTGGACAGGCAGCGATGCTCACAATATTGTGTTTTCTTACAGAGAGAACTGTGGCGTGTTGCAGTCCTGGAACCAATTCGTGCTGGCCTCACTCCCTTGAGCATCATTGATTCGAATTTAGTATATGCTGGTGTGAGCGTGGAGAAAAATCATTGGCCCTCAATTCTCCTCTAGGAGGAATACAGCGATGGAGGACCTGCTGGCATGTTTTCCTGCCTAGTTGCAATAGGCCTAGCCAGTTCTTGAGAAAGTTTTATGAATATCCTTATGAATTAAAACGTTAGACAAATCATTTCCTCTTACTGATTGCCTCTCTGATACCGTATTTCTTAACTATGCAGGACAGTGAAAAGGTTCATCTGTATGCGAAACACCTGAATAACCTTTTCCATAAACATTTCGACAAGATTTATCAATTAAAACTCTGGCTTGGCCAGAATTTCATTAAGTTCTTACAGCGTTCTCCAGGCATTTCAAAATACGCATCTTCAACACACGCAGCCAAGGAAACTAAGGAAACTTCTGTCATCACTCATATATTTTCCCTTACAACGTGCTGCTCAGTTGTAAAGGCACAATAAATGCCAAATGAACGAATAAGTAATTACTAGCTACTTATCATGGATGGCTTTGTTATCATGGCTAACCGTGTACCTTTACTACAGCAGAACAACTCACATCAGTCCATTGGCTCATGTATGAGTTCCATTTCTCTCTACACAGACGGGGAGATGGCTAAAGGTTTATACATGAATAGACAGACTCTGAGGTTGTTGCTGAAGGCTACAACTCACCAACTCACCTAGGCAATACATAACACCTTTCCTTGTTTCATAGTGCCCTGGGATTCTTTTGTTGTTGTTGTTCCAACATGGCAGCAGAGCTTAAGCAAGTGCTTAGCTAAGCTTGAAACACAACAGTATGAACAAGATCAATTCAGTTCAAACGTACTAAGCCCTTACTTTTTTTCAGGAATGGCGGCAATCTCAGTAAAGCAGAAAGTGTAGGAAACGGAACTACAGGAATTTGTGTTTGAAGCCTTTAATTATTTTGTACAGAACATTTTGTTTATTACCAGCATTGGGCACTATATACATTACACCAAAATCCACAAATTGTACACGGACCCAAACGATTTAGAGGGTGCCAGATATGAAGACAGCAACAGCCTTTATAGCAATATATATATATATATATATATATATATATATATATGTGTGTGTGTGTGTGTGTGTGTGTGTGTGTGTGTGTGTGTATATATATATGTATATGTGTATATATATGTATATAAATAAATGCAATAAGGGATATGGGGGACACTAGTATATCACAACTACCGCAAGGGGCTACACTTAAAACAGTTAAATTACTCTCAATACATAAAACATTTCCCCTCAGACTGTAGGGGGACAGCTTTCATAAGAGCTTTTAAAACCTCCATGAAATAAGATCTGCTTTCTTGCGTGTGCGTGTGCGTGTGCGTGTGTGTGTACATGAGAATCCACGAATATTCCACGAAACAACACAATTCAAGTCACTGTCTTACACAAGTGTCTCACAAATTCGTAGTTTTGTTTGTTAACCGCATTTTATTTGGAAAGTGATATATACAAAAAGAGTCCTTCTTAGGTACAGAATCAATCCATTACAACTTCCAGCCCTCTGCAATACTGAGGCTACAGAGGATTTCCATAAATAGAAAAAAAATGACTGTAATGGGATCATTAGCTGTATACAATGTAGACTTTTTTTTGTCCAGGTTTTGGTTTCAATACGTGCCCTTGTACAGAGCACGTTCTTTCTTCTGACTTTTTGTTCTGGGTTTTTTGTTCCTTTTTTTTTTTTTTTTTTTTTT